ACACACCAAGATGTTTTGATTTGTATAAAATGAGGAAAGCTCCCCCACAAGTCATGCTCCCCTTGAATGTTTGCTTAATAGAATGTTAGCTCAAAAGCAATAGAGATCAGTATAGGCAAAAGCGAACATAAATTAGATTAATTAAAGTTACTTGTTCACAACTTACTAGAATTAGAAAATTTATGTCTTATGTTCCTAAGGAAAAGCGAAAAGATCACCAAAACAAAAAAGATCGCCGCATTTTCTTCCCCTGTGACATTATCAAAAGCAATATAAGAAATGGAGTTCACAAGGTATCATCAGGTGGAGGTGGAGGTGGAGGATAGAAGTGTTGGTAGATGCCATCAACGCGGTTCTCCATATGATCAATGCGGGTGTTCAAGTCACTGAGTTGAATCAAAAAGTGTTGAGCTTGCTCGAAATCCGCCAGTTGAGTGGACGTTTGTTGTTCCCATTGAAGGCACTATTGTTCCATAGCCATAAAATCTGTCCAATATGCAGGAGGTGGAGGCTGTTGCGGTAGTGGCATGTTATTTGGATTTTGTTCTTGAGGATCCTCTATAGGTGCATCAAGAACATGCAAGCTGCTATGCAAAACATCACTTTCTCTAACCCGGTTGATAGTATATTCACTTATGTCAGTGGCTATTTTGGAGTCATGCTCATTTGAAAAACTGATGTTGAAGTGTTCTAAAATTTTGGTTAATAGGGCTCCAAAAGGTAAAGATTTGTCACGAGAGTATGCGACAATATGATGACCAACCTCAAAACAGTATAATAGAACATCACAATGGCTAGCCTTAGGAGTGACATTTTCTAATAAACATCTATGGAGAATGCGAAGATGGGGTTTGAGGTGTTTGGCAAGTAAATGGGAGCCAGTGGTTTTGCCAGTGCATATAGTAGAATAAACTTCAGTAATACAACCAACTCGTTGAGCTATTTGTTCATCAATTTGAAAGTAATGTTGTTGATCACCTAGCTCAACCCCAAGGATTTGTGCTAAAGTGGGAACATCAAACTCAATAAATTTTCCTTTGACATAAGAGTCAAGGGTGAAGTTGTCCTCTTCTTCGTGTGAGTGCTTGAGGTGTAAGTAAAAGAGAGAGACAAGGCAAGGATAACAAAGGAATATGAGGAAAAAATTAACCGATGGAGTGGACCAACTTGATAAATTTACCAAACATAACAAGGAATATGAGGAAGTTGACAAAAATTAACTCAGGTTATGTTGAACACAATAAAAAAAAATTCTTGTGCCATGAACCGATGAAGTCAGAGGGAAAAAAAAATACGCGCTGAGGATTTAAGGATAAAACATATCACAAAAAAGATTGAAGTGTTTAGAATTATTGCAAGTTATGTGAAATAAAGTGAAAAAAATTGATTTTACATCTTTTGGCATGAACTTGTCATAGTAGAAGTGGAAAAAAAAAAAAAGCTTCAGATTGTGTTGTTCATATAAACCTACTTCTTCTATATGTTTTTTCAAGAGGAAAAATTGATACTATGCTTTTTATTAAGTCTAAAAATCATGATATCTTACTTGTGCAAATATATGTTGATGACATAATTTTTGGAGCAACTAATAAATCTTTGTGTAAAAAATTTGCTGAAAAGAATTGATTTTACATCTTTTGGCATGAACTTGTCATAGTAGAAGTGGAAAAAAAAAAAAAGCTTCGGATTTGTTGTTCATATAAACCTACTTCTTCTATATGTTTTTTCAAGAGGAAAAATTGATACTATGCTTTTTATTAACTCTAAAAATCATGATATCTTACTTGTGCAAATATATGTTGATGACATAATTTTTGGAGCAACTAATGAATCTTTGTGTAAAAAATTTGCTCAAGTTATGCAAGGTGAATTTGAAATAAGCATGATGGAGGAGTTAAATTATTTTCTTGGACTTCGTATCAAACAAAGTAAGGAAGGAATCCATATCAACCAAGCTAAGTACATAAAGGAACTACTTAAAAGGTTTGGTATGAATGAATCAAAAGTAGCCACAACACCAATGAATACTTCCAATAAGCTAGACAAAAATGAGAAGGGTAAGTCCATTGATCAAACAAAATATCGAGGTATGATTGGCTCAATTCTCTATTTAACTGCAAGTAGACCCGATATTGTGTTTGTTGTTTGCATATGTGCAAGATTTCAATCTTGTCCAAAAGAGTTTCATCTCACTGTCGTTAAATGTATTTTTCAATATCTAACCGACAATCCTATTTTGGGTTTGGATTTATTTTATCCTAGAGGTGTATTATTTGATTTGATTGGTTACTCGGATGCCGACTTTGCCGGATGCAAACTTGATAGAAAAACTACTAGCACTTGTCACGTTTTGATAACTTATTAGTAACTTGGTTTAGGGAAAAGTAAAATTCTGTTGCTCTATCAACGGTCGAAGCTGAATACATAGCTTCCGGAAGTTGTTGTGCCCAAGTTCTATGGATAAAACAACAATTAGATGATTTTGACTTACATTATGATTATATCCCTATTAAATGTGATAATACTAGTACTATCAACTTAAACAAAAATTCGGTTCAACACTCTGAAACAAAACATATTGAAATTTGACACCAATTTTTAAAAGATCATGTTCAAAAAGGGGATATTGCTATTAAATTTGTAAACACTGACAAGCAATTGACAGATATTTTCATAAAATCCCTAAGTAAGACATGCTTTAATTTTATTCGTGGTGAATTTGGAACGTCGAATTCTACATATTGATTTTGTTGAGATTGCAAAATTGAAGTTTTACTCAAATTGAGGAATGAATACTATTGCATTAATTTGGAATCATAAATATCAGTTGAATGCTTTCAAAATACTCATACATTTTTACTCAAGTATTGTTTGTTGCATTTTTAACACATAAAAATTTCCAGATTTTTATCTATGTCCTTAAAACTCATCCAGCTACCTAATTTTCTTTCAAAACTTGTTTCCTACACTAGCAGATTCATTTCCTTCACTTACCATACATATTGAGTTACATATACCTACCATACTTGTTATGCCCTTAAATCCTCTGGCTGAATTATTGGGCCTGTCATATACATTTATACGTTGTGTACGTCACATAAATTAGCCCTAGCCACTTTTAAGCAATCAGCACAGGAGCTCCGCAACACAGGAGATTTTTTACCGAGCCAGTTGTCCGGGAGGACAACTTGGCGGTCGACCGGTGGCCACCTGGGCAGATTTTAAAAGCCCCAAAACCGACTGCTTCTATTCCTGTTCTTTTCTCTGCTTCGTCTATGTAAACCCTAATCTCCATATCGCTCAAACTCCATCTGCCAAACCCTCTAAAAACTCAATCTCTATCAATTTCTTGTGTAAACTAAGGTAAATCTCTGTATTTTCATAGGTTTCTTTACCTTAACCCCTTGATTTTGCTTTAGATTTAATGTTTTTTCTTTTGGGGTCATACATCCATATGTGGGTTTGTTCCAAACTGATTAATGGTCATTTTATTCTTGATTGATGATTATTCTTGAAATACTTCCATGATTTTGTTCAAAAAGCTTGATGTTGTTCATATTCTTGCCAAATACTTCCATGTCACACAGATTGTTCATACTTAAGCTCTGTCTTGAATCTTTTTTTATTTTTATTTTTACTGAAATTTGTGGGTACTAAATCTAAATTCTATAACACTGTAGCATAACTCTGAATTTTTATTCTGAATTTTTTTTGGCTCTCACAGGTTCCTGCCAAAAGTAGTTTTTTATTTTTTTATTTATAAAAAAAACTAAGTCTTTCTCTGTTAATCATGTGAACACTAAATCTGAAGTCTATATATTTTTTTGACTCTTGCTATCACAAGTTCATGCCAAAAGAAGTCAAATCAAATTTTTTTTCACTTTGTTTCACATAACTTGCAATAATTCTGACCATTTCAATTTTTTTTGTGCTATGTTTAATCCTTAAATCCTCGGCGTCTTTTTTTTTTCTCTCTCTCTTTCTCTCTCTCTGTGATTTCATCGGTTCATGGCACAAGATTTTTTTATTTTTTTTGCTGTGTTCAACATAACCTGAGTTAATTTTTGTTAACTTCCTCATATTCCTTTGTTATGTTTCATCCTTAAATAGTTCTATCAACCTCAGCGCCTATTGGTCATTGATTTCTTCATAGTGGCCTTGCTTATTCATCCTCTAGCTGTTCCTTGATAGTAAAATCAGATCGTGGCTCCTAGAACCAAAAAGCCTAGAGCTAGAGAGGCCGGACAGTCATCAAATCCCGGGCTAGGTTCTCTTTTGTGTAACATAATGATTCTTCAAACTTTCATTTACAGCAAATTGTCTAGTTAAGATTGCAAGATTCCATCAACGGGATTCTGTTAATCCATTCAACATAATTTGAAGAAAAATTTGATCTAGTTACCTAATCGGTTTGTTATCATACAAAGTGGTTTGTTTTTTACAAAAATTGTATATACACTTAAATTCAATCATATTCAAGATTTACATTTACGAATTAGATTAAATTTCAATCATATTCAATATTTATCTTTACTAATCAGATTCAACATATATATCCTTAGTTTTGTTTTGAATTTTTTTCTTTGTGGCTCGGACATACACAGAGGCATATCTATACATCTATATATATGTTATCTACAAAACCCATATTGATATGTTGTGTAGCAACTCCAGCACCACCCTCCACCTCAACTGTGTGGGAGGCCAAACGTCTCGTGCACAGAAAAACAGAGAGAGAGGCCAAACACGTGGTTTAGGTGAGGAAAATGGTTGCAATAATTCATCAAACACCTGGTGTGCAGCCCAAATAACTCTTCTCTAGCATTGGTGGAAGCTATCGAAGCCATCATGAACTGAGTGGAGGGGGTGTGGTGGCTGGCTGTTGATGGAGGTGGTGGAGGGGGAAGGGAGGATTGCTGGTTGGTAATAGTGATGGGGCTGGGGTGGTGAGGTTAGGGGAAGATGTAGAGAGAGTAGAGAGACCCAAACCCACCTCAATGATTCAGAGTAGCTGCTACTGTGCACTCCTTGCCATTGAAATGTGAAGCAGAGCTCTACCTTCTCAGTTTTTGCAATGTGAACTTATGGAATGGAGTGGAGGTGGTTGTTGGGGAGTGGAACCATGGAGTGAAGTTTAGAGAGTGATAGCTGAGTGAAGATGGGGGGATGGGATTATGTGCGGTGATGTCTATGATAAGAGATGAGTGTTTTATTTTGGAATTTTTAGTATTTTTTATGGAAGGGTATGTTTGTCATTTAGTAGCAATGTTAATGCCATCAAGCCGACAGGGGTAATTGTTGTTTTAGAAACCACAATGAAGGTCCTGTAATTGTAAGATACCTCAGGGGAGGTCCGTGTAATTAACCCTCATTTATTTGGTGCTTTCTTCTGCTTTGCTGTTGTACTTCCCATATCCCAGTGATGAAATATTTAGTAATCAGAATTCGTGCATGAAATTTGTGAAAAGTTGGTGCTCCCTTTTGCTAGCTTATACTGCAGAGGTAGAGGAACCATGATTTCATGCCAGGTTGAAACTAGGCATTCAGAGGGATATATTTCTATTTAATCTTAGTCTATACCTGGGTTGCTAATTTGTTCTTTTCGAGCTATTGTGGGACAACATATAAGCATTTAGGTGTCATTTTATTACATTGTCAGTTTTTTGTTTTCAAAAACAGGAAATAAGGTTTTTGTTTTTGTTTTTGTTTTTGTTTTTGTTTTTGTTTTTGTTTTTTTCCATGAAAAACAAAAATAAAAATCCTGTTTGGTGGTACACAAATGTTTTGAAAATAAATTAATGTCAAAATAAAGAAGCATGTTTGGTGAGTTGCTGGAGGTGGGGGTGGTGAGAGGAGGTTGCATAAATTGGTGGCTAGAGTGTTACCACTGGACGTCATGGCTGTGAGTCTGTGACCATCCCATCACTGAAGCCTGTCATAGAGCTGACGGAAGATGGCCAAAGTTTTCTGGAAACCACCCACACCCCTATATCCAACCATTCCATTCCACTATGTTTGTATAATTATAATATACTACAAGGGTAAGCACACATAGTGAGTGTTTGGGAAGTGAGTTTTTATGTAGGTTTTTTAGTTGTTGGATATTATTGGAGAAAAAAAAATTTGTGTTTGGGAAGATAGTTGAGTTTTTTTGTGGTTGGATGTGATGTTTGTGAGAGAAAAAGTGAAATAATTATGGGGTTGGATGTGATATTTTGTTTGGATGTATTTTATTTGGTTTTGCAAAAAGTTTGTCTTTTTGTGAAAAAAATAAAAAAAAAGCCAAGTCCCAAGCTTCCCAAACACCACCATACATGTGCAATTGAAAAGATCATGTTTGTGCTATGAAATTTACAATCCAACCCATTGTGTTTTTTTTGTTCTTTTCGATATAATAAATTGAGTCAGGCATAATTGCTCTTGTTTTTAAGTAACTGTTCTTGTGGCCATTTTCAGAAATCAACAAAATGTTACATGTCTATACCAACTTGGTTGTAGGCTTTTATATAATAGTATAGATATCTCCGTATCTTCCCCCATTATTCTCTCTGTCTCTCTACAACTCTAATTTTCTAGTGATCAAATGTTGCAGTGCTAGCCAAGGCCTTTGGTGATGGAGAGAGAAGGTGGATGGTCCAATGCTGAGCTAGCACCCAATTGTCCAAGGTGTGCCTGCTCAAATTCAAAGTTCTGTGCATGAGGCTTTGTGCGACCAGATTGAAGAGGTGAAGGCAGCAATGGGGAGAATTGGAGAAACAGTTTGATCTTGTTGTGCCAAACATGAACAAGTGGGAGGTGCATTCTAGAGGATGAGGTGCATTCTCTTTTACTGTGATTGTCTAAATGATTTGTAGTTTGTTTCTTATGTAGAGGAGTTGGGACACCATTCTTAGGTTGTGTATGTACTGGATGTAGTCATGTAATGACATGGCAGTAGTTACTCTCAAATTTCTGTATGGGATTTAGTTAGTGGCATCTCATATGGGTGGCCTACAATATTCTTGAGAACATTATTATTGTGGTTAATTATTTATTTATTTATTTAGTTTTATATCGGTGCTTCCACCATTAAAATCATCTCAAGGATTCAAGGGTTTGGTCCATTACAGTTGAGTTTGTATTGAAATGTTTCTGGCTTGTAGCAATCTGGAAATATGTTGTTAATGAAGAAAACAATGAGATTTTACCAGGGAATACTGGATTCTCTATCTCACTCCAGTGTTTTAAATCACTTTTTAATTTTATTTTTATTTTATCACACAATCTGTCTGACTTTGATTATGTGGTAGAGGGAGTAGGTGTGAGAGTTTAACTGAATGAAACCGAACCCACTGAACTCAACTGAGCTAAAAAAAATGATTCTGTTTTATTTTCCTTGTGTTCAGTAAGTTTTGGAAATGCTTAAATTTTACTTGAAGTGTCCATTTCAGTTGAGCATTATACCTCCTAACCCAAACCTACCCTCCTCTTCACTCCCTTCTTCGCTGACTTCTCTATCCCACTATGATGCTGCTGTCACTGCATTAGAAACCTTTGAAAATGACACTAAAAGACACTTTTTTATTTTATTTTTTTACCAAAGGTTTTTGGCTTTTAGCAATCTAGAAATATGTATTTCATAAAGAAAATAATGAGGTTTTACCTGATAAATTGATTCTCTATCACTCTCCCATTCTCCCATGTTTCAGATCACCTTTTTTTTTATTATTTTATGTTATTTTATTTTTTTAATCACACAATCTATCTAAGAACCATGATTATGTGGCAGAGGGAGTTTGGAATAGAGAGAGGTACCTCATAGATGATGATAGCAAGGATGTTGGAATAGAGAT